TGCAATCCTGCCATCGTAAAGTAACTCAAGCCATTATACGAATTCAGAAATGTAAGCAAATGCTTGGTAGGCAACCACTTTTTCATGTCAATGGAGTACCTGCTGAGCAGTTTGTTTTCTCCTGCAGCATGCAAAGGTGCCAAAATAGGAGTCAATCTCTGCCTTGAGCTGACAGACTTGATGCATCAAATGATAAGAAAACCGCGTGGAGCTTTGTTGGCAATCATGATCTGTACATCACAATCATTCTTGTTGCATTCAAGCACACCTGTACAGCAGATCTACTTTACAGTGAGTCACTGTAAAGGCGAATCTACGAATGTGCCATCATGATGAACGCAAAGGGATCGCCTTATGGGACGATGAATGATTCCTTCACTGCTATGCCTCAATTTGATTAACACCAGTCGAAGGATACTTCTTTTTCTTTCGTACTAACCATTCCTTAGTCTCTACAACTAAAGATTGCAAAGAGAAAAGTGAGAGGTGAATGAATTCACCCATTAAAGTAGGATTTATGCACCTTTAAGTAACGCATTAAATGGATTCATTTGACTCACATTTCTGACGTTTCCTCTGTTGGTCGTGGGATTGGGACCACAAGTGTTACCGCCGCAGTCGCCAGAGGAAACGAATAACCCATTGGATGGGGTTGAAGGAAGTGGTGGTACTGAATTTGGTTCAGATGGAATGATATCACATTTATATCCACCTCCAGTCTCGGGCCTTTGCGATGGCAGTGGCGGTAGAGGTCGCCTTATTTTTCCTTGCTCCATGACCGCTGTGAACTGAAGCAGAGATGGCATTTCGGCCATATTAGGCAAGTCTTATCTAATTAAGCCCAAGCAATTTCTCAAAAGAGATAGCAGTATCTAATGCAACACGCATTTATTAATCGAAGTGTAAAATATGAATTTGACGACATTAATAATGCTGTAATTTACATTGCCAAGGAACGCATTCGTTTGGAAGGAGCACTTCGACTACTTGGAAATCAGCTGACACAAGAAAACTCTGAAATAAATAAAAAACCTGAAACACACTAGTGAAGTAGTATTTCAAATGCAAATAAAGGGAGATTAAACAAAACCAAGGACTGCTTTAACCATCACACTTAGAGCGAATGCACACATAGACAAAATTTATAAGCTTGAGAGGCTATTCATAGTATTTATGGCTCATGAATCAATTTGACAAGACCATCAACCACAACAGGCCTGATTATCTTGTGCTTCAACGCAACACCAATTATCATTAACATTTCAACTGATTCCACTTCCTTTGCAAAAACCACAAAATACACCATTTATCCTTAGAGCAAGAGCATTCTACATCCGCTTTATTGTTTACAATCCCACAAATCTGTTTACATCTCACAATTTCGTGTAACTAATGATTTGAAAGTACTGTAAACTACTTGTCACATATTCGTGACAACAGTTCTAGATGGACTAATCGAGACGTGATACTAGTGTCGGTGGTAGTGAATGTGTTGAGCAAAGAAAGATCCCTTCACCTTACCCCTTGGCAACATCTTCTAAAAATGCCACACTCTTGTAGATGAGCAATGGCCTTGAATGTAATTATACGTGTTAAGAACAGGATAAGTGCCAATGAAATTAGAGAATGCACACACGGTCCTCATTTGACACCCATCTTCACTAAGGAATCCACATATCTTGTCGGCATCGTGACTGTCAAACAGTCATAGAACAACAAAGTGTTCTTCAAATCTCTCCCGGAATAACCAAATGATATGGACCAGAAAAGCTACTTTCTTGCCTCTAAAGCAATAAGAAAGAGGACCCTGTCAATGCAAGACACTCCTGCATGCACATGATCGAAGTGTTTTATTGGAATCAAAACTCATCTTAAAGATCACTTTGCTAATCGCACATTTGTTGGTTTGATGTCTGGTACGTAGACTTGAGCAATTTTAGACTTTGATGGTGTGGTACAAAGGCTGTCCTGAGATTTGACAATGTAACATGACAGCTCCGTCCTTGTCACGGAAATTGTAGGAAAATGTTGCCTGGTGTAACCAAGATGCCAAATGAAAGTTGAGGGGATGATGAAAGTAGCTGAGCGAGAGTTACTTGGCAAATAAAATGTAAGTAAGTTAAGTAGGAAAAAGGGAAGTAATATACTACATGATGGTGAAAACATCACCTCTATTGCTTTCGCTGAGACAAAAACGACTTCTAAGTAGGCAGATGATACAATGTTGAAAATCGTTTCGATGCAATACTCACCTCCGCTGCGTTAGTATTATCATACATAAAATTCATTCCAAAGTTATTTTGGTCTTTCATATTCCTCATGAGGGCTTGGGCGAGGTCATCCGTTAGGCCAAAAGTATCGAATTGGTTCGTCTTCGTGTTAACGCCAGCATATTGTTGAAAAGAGCTGTGGACTACCTGATTTTGCAGTCTTATTGCGGCCTATGTGGGTGAGTGACAAGAACACGTCAGATTGCAAGTCTTCATTCAGTGGAAGAAGACACTTCCATTGGCTCTAATGCATGCACACACCCAATCACACATACAGATGTGTGTGTGACAAATGAGTCTAGCAAGCAGCAAGTAGTGGATTTGCAGATTGCACAAGTGACATTCCATACACGAGCTCCAATGCCGAAAGCCACAAGCACTTAAGATGCTATCAAACGGTTCAACTAGAAAGACAGGAGAGCAAATGGCTGTGTGGTAGCAGGCGATATATGCCACTTCATTTGCATTTTACGGTGACAGAAAAGGGAGAATGCAATAATCTGACTGACTGTGTCTAGAGACGTGATTGCAATCCTGCCATCGTAAAGTAACTCAAGCCATTATACGAATTCAGAAATGTAAGCAAATGCTTGGTAGGCAACCACTTTTTCATGTCAATGGAGTACCTGCTGAGCAGTTTGTTTTCTCCTGCAGCATGCAAAGGTGCCAAAATAGGAGTCAATCTCTGCCTTGAGCTGACAGACTTGATGCATCAAATGATAAGAAAACCGCGTGGAGCTTTGTTGGCAATCATGATCTGTACATCACAATCATTCTTGTTGCATTCAAGCACACCTGTACAGCAGATCTACTTTACAGTGAGTCACTGTAAAGGCGAATCTACGAATGTGCCATCATGATGAACGCAAAGGGATCGCCTTATGGGACGATGAATGATTCCTTCACTGCTATGCCTCAATTTGATTAACACCAGTCGAAGGATACTTCTTTTTCTTTCGTACTAACCATTCCTTAGTCTCTACAACTAAAGATTGCAAAGAGAAAAGTGAGAGGTGAATGAATTCACCCATTAAAGTAGGATTTATGCACCTTTAAGTAACGCATTAAATGGATTCATTTGACTCACATTTCTGACGTTTCCTCTGTTGGTCGTGGGATTGGGACCACAAGTGTTACCGCCGCAGTCGCCAGAGGAAACGAATAACCCATTGGATGGGGTTGAAGGAAGTGGTGGTACTGAATTTGGTTCAGATGGAATGATATCACATTTATATCCACCTCCAGTCTCGGGCCTTTGCGATGGCAGTGGCGGTAGAGGTCGCCTTATTTTTCCTTGCTCCATGACCGCTGTGAACTGAAGCAGAGATGGCATTTCGGCCATATTAGGCAAGTCTTATCTAATTAAGCCCAAGCAATTTCTCAAAAGAGATAGCAGTATCTAATGCAACACGCATTTATTAATCGAAGTGTAAAATATGAATTTGACGACATTAATAATGCTGTAATTTACATTGCCAAGGAACGCATTCGTTTGGAAGGAGCACTTCGACTACTTGGAAATCAGCTGACACAAGAAAACTCTGAAATAAATAAAAAACCTGAAACACACTAGTGAAGTAGTATTTCAAATGCAAATAAAGGGAGATTAAACAAAACCAAGGACTGCTTTAACCATCACACTTAGAGCGAATGCACACATAGACAAAATTTATAAGCTTGAGAGGCTATTCATAGTATTTATGGCTCATGAATCAATTTGACAAGACCATCAACCACAACAGGCCTGATTATCTTGTGCTTCAACGCAACACCAATTATCATTAACATTTCAACTGATTCCACTTCCTTTGCAAAAACCACAAAATACACCATTTATCCTTAGAGCAAGAGCATTCTACATCCGCTTTATTGTTTACAATCCCACAAATCTGTTTACATCTCACAATTTCGTGTAACTAATGATTTGAAAGTACTGTAAACTACTTGTCACATATTCGTGACAACAGTTCTAGATGGACTAATCGAGACGTGATACTAGTGTCGGTGGTAGTGAATGTGTTGAGCAAAGAAAGATCCCTTCACCTTACCCCTTGGCAACATCTTCTAAAAATGCCACACTCTTGTAGATGAGCAATGGCCTTGAATGTAATTATACGTGTTAAGAACAGGATAAGTGCCAATGAAATTAGAGAATGCACACACGGTCCTCATTTGACACCCATCTTCACTAAGGAATCCACATATCTTGTCGGCATCGTGACTGTCAAACAGTCATAGAACAACAAAGTGTTCTTCAAATCTCTCCCGGAATAACCAAATGATATGGACCAGAAAAGCTACTTTCTTGCCTCTAAAGCAATAAGAAAGAGGACCCTGTCAATGCAAGACACTCCTGCATGCACATGATCGAAGTGTTTTATTGGAATCAAAACTCATCTTAAAGATCACTTTGCTAATCGCACATTTGTTGGTTTGATGTCTGGTACGTAGACTTGAGCAATTTTAGACTTTGATGGTGTGGTACAAAGGCTGTCCTGAGATTTGACAATGTAACATGACAGCTCCGTCCTTGTCACGGAAATTGTAGGAAAATGTTGCCTGGTGTAACCAAGATGCCAAATGAAAGTTGAGGGGATGATGAAAGTAGCTGAGCGAGAGTTACTTGGCAAATAAAATGTAAGTAAGTTAAGTAGGAAAAAGGGAAGTAATATACTACATGATGGTGAAAACATCACCTCTATTGCTTTCGCTGAGACAAAAACGACTTCTAAGTAGGCAGATGATACAATGTTGAAAATCGTTTCGATGCAATACTCACCTCCGCTGCGTTAGTATTATCATACATAAAATTCATTCCAAAGTTATTTTGGTCTTTCATATTCCTCATGAGGGCTTGGGCGAGGTCATCCGTTAGGCCAAAAGTATCGAATTGGTTCGTCTTCGTGTTAACGCCAGCATATTGTTGAAAAGAGCTGTGGACTACCTGATTTTGCAGTCTTATTGCGGCCTATGTGGGTGAGTGACAAGAACACGTCAGATTGCAAGTCTTCATTCAGTGGAAGAAGACACTTCCATTGGCTCTAATGCATGCACACACCCAATCACACATACAGATGTGTGTGTGACAAATGAGTCTAGCAAGCAGCAAGTAGTGGATTTGCAGATTGCACAAGTGACATTCCATACACGAGCTCCAATGCCGAAAGCCACAAGCACTTAAGATGCTATCAAACGGTTCAACTAGAAAGACAGGAGAGCAAATGGCTGTGTGGTAGCAGGCGATATATGCCACTTCATTTGCATTTTACGGTGACAGAAAAGGGAGAATGCAATAATCTGACTGACTGTGTCTAGAGACGTGATTGCTACCTACTTTTAGACCAGACAATGCATGAATATGTGCATGAATGAATGAATGAATGGAGGGGAGGGGGTGTGAAGCAAAATCCGCGCAAATAAACACAATCAGATGTATCGTGTGTGTTAATAATCTGGTTTAATGGGAAAGCATTGGGAAAACACTCCCTTTCCTCCAGAGACGAGTTAGTCCAAATTTAGGCACTACCCTGACACACGTGCAAAATAAAGACCGCTAGCTCAGGGTTCTGGAACTGAGAGAAAGAGGGTATTCGGGTAAAAGATATCCTTGATCAAACAGAGATACTGCCTTAATGGTTTACTTAATTATGTAGAGAATTGAGTTACTGCAAACCACATTAGTTCAGCGCATGCATCCGCCTGACTGAAGTGTGCATTGCTTGAACAACTGGTTTGACACATGAAGTGAGGATGAGCTCGAGAACCAACACAGTGATCTGCCAAGCATTGACAAATGGATAGGGAAGAAGGATGGGGAAACTTTCGCTTCTGACCTCCTTACATCAAGTTTTGTAATCATGGCGTTCACGCAAATATTGAATAAGTATAAATATGTAATGTACAAAGCATACAAGTAAGAACTGGAGAGAAGACGATTGGAAGCAATAAGAGGAGAAAGAAAAGTGGGATAAGCTGATCGAGAGAGGTTGGAAAGAAGGAGGAAAGAAAGGGAAGGAAGCAATATTAAATAAGAAAAGCAAAGCCTTCAGCGGATGGTGACATACAACGCATTCAATCGCCAAGTGTGCAGAACTTCACCAAACACGGAAGCCTCCATCCCAATGCTTTGTTCTTGAATGTATTTAGCACATGGAAATTCAGTAATGGCAAATGTGGCTGCTGCAAAGACCAAGCTACGGAGATAGTCGTTACATTTGGGATAATAGAGATGGCATTGTGCGTGCTGTAGCCCATCTCCACGAAAAGGAGTGATCTGAGGAGTTGCCACATCTCCGTCAGTAGGTAGAGGCGGATGCAGTAGAATTAAATAGGGCTGTCTCGATTTATGGTGACAAATCTTATGTGACTGCCCTGCCAGCTCTGGGACTGTTGGGCATGTCGAGCTGTAGCACAGTGAAGTCTCGTGGCACACGATTGGGTCTGCAGTAGTTCAAAGGATGTAAGGGTTTGTTTGGGACTGTGCAGCCAAACAGTTGATGCTTGTGCCTCTACAACGTACATTATATTAATTTCTACAACTATCAAGATGCCAATCGACCTCGTGCTGATTGAAGTACACTACACTAGAGTAAATTGCAGTCCCTTTTCCAATGCGATCGTCTACTTACATAGTTAGGCAAATATATGCGACATTCCATCGACACGTTACTCTCCCTTGTGCATTCCACCACATCCATCTTACTACCAACTGCCAAGCCGCAAAATATCAGCCACACTCGACGTATTATATCTGAGCCTGTCTGCCTGATGACCAAGTTAACAGCAACCTCCAAGTTGCACTGGCTTTTCCTTAAACTCACTGCTGAACAGTTGGAGAAGGTGCAAAATGCAAAGTCTAGAATTGTCATGAACTACTTTGTTCTGACGATGGATCAATCAAGATGGACTCTCTCGTCTCATTTCTGGAGACCTTCATGTTACCATCGACATGGTATAAGGAAATCAACGTGGGGATGAGACCGTTGGTAGTAGTGAAATGCCGTGTGCCACGCATCAACAGATGACGAAGAATAAGCAGTTAGTCAGCCAGTCCTCTGTCGATGTAAATTGGTTGCTTACCCCGATTTGTGATGGGACACATGGTATTTCTTTATTACCTGTTCACAAATGATGTATTCACATGCCATAACACGCTTCCAAGCCAAAAGTCACTTTATCCACACAGAGCAGTAACGCGATCGACTGAACAAGTGTGTGTGGAGTACTGCAGACCAACTCGTTGTCTGTGCATGAATTTCTTATTAAAGTCCTAACCCAATACAAATTAACACTTCTCGCCTCGCCACTGTGTGAGTAGGAAATGAGCAAGGAAACAATTAAGACCGCCAGACCTAGTAAACCAAGAGGAGAACTCTCTCTTCCCTACTCTTCAAATCCGAAAATCTTCTTTGTTCGCATTAAATTCTGATTTATGCAGGTTGGTTTAGTGTCATCAGTCAGTGTCACTATTCATTTGAAAATGTTACTAATGGGCTACTGGATAAACAGACGTCATGACTTTTCTAGTCATTGATGCTTGTTTTGCAATTAGACGATGAACTAGACGAACGGCAATTGATGCGTCAATTGGCCGCGTAAGAATGGTGGCACCACATGTTGAGCAACACCTATGTGCTGAACATCATCACACAAGATCGTACGTGCATTTAGCGAGTGCAGATATCGAATGAGTTAGTGGATGAATTCGAGTGGGAAGTAGGTTGTGCATCTGATTCAGCACACTAGAAATCTACCAAAGGGAGCATGCGAGCTATTGCATGCAGTTGACTCCTACTTATATCAAATGAGTAGTTAACGAGCACTCGTTACCGCTTCTAGTCAGATGAATAACTAAAACTGTTGGAGACTCAGTTTCAATTCCTTTCATTTGCCAATGACAAGTTTTACATGTATGGCATCCTTTGATACAGCATTCATGAATTTGGCTAGACGCAGGTCGCATACACTCTGAGCACGATGGCAAGTGCTATGGAAGGATACATTGTGGTAGACATCCTCCAACCAGAGTCTCTTGTCATTTTTGTGTTTCACCCAATAGTCGCGTAATGCGTCGTCAAAAGACACTTTTGAAATGCAAGTAATGGACATTGCTTTGTGACAGAAAACCAGTCAAGCCAATTAAGATTTGAACAAATGTACTTGTTAATAAAAAACTGATCTCCTACTGGACGTTTCTTTGCATTAGCATTAATGGTAAACAAGTGAAAGTAAACTCTATTAAAAGGCTTTAGTATATTTAACAAAAATGTAATTGTTGTTCCTTTTTTATTTTGACAAAGGGTATTGAGACACGCTTGAAAGATTTTATGTGCTTTTGCGTGTAGACCGATCGTTCCCCATGGGTGCCTTAGCTTAATCACACACTTTTCATCCTCAAGCTGCCATTGATTCTTCACTGAACACAAACATCACTTTAGGTTGCTGTCACGCTATGAAAAAGTGTGCTCTAACGCTTTTAAGTTTACTTTTACATTTTGAGATTCTCAACAGGCATTAAGCAAGGGTCAATAGTAAATCGGTGTAGTAAGTAGGGCGGGTTCATTCACCCAAAGTATTTAACATTTCAATGCGTTCCTAACCAAATTCCCACGCCCTAGAGGTATCTGTAAAAAAAACATTTTGTGTTAAACTATAAAAGCAGAAAAAATTGATTGGCAATGTCTCTATTGCTGTTTTAGGACTTCGCTGCTCTTTCCGTTTACTATGGGTAGAGTCTAGGATGGAGAGGTCATCATAATCATTGCTTACACTTCGAATACTGTAGCAAAAAGCTAATCACAATGAATGCAGTTTGTTAGTAAAATACGTGCAACGAGCACAGGAATTCATTTTTTTAACAATTACGCCTAAAAATATTGGCAAGGGTTTAAACGTTGTTGCAAACGCCGAGCCTACTAAACTACCGGTTACAGTCACAATCACAAAGTGTGAATGAGAAGCCTTGGAGTTAGTTTGATGAAACGAAAAATGAGTGCTCGATGATGTTACAGGAATGCCAAATATGTGCATTGTCTCGGCCTGTGTCGTGATCTCTGCCAGTTCGCTCTTCGTGTGAGTGTTGGGTGCAACACAACATTGAACCAACATCTTTGAATTGAGGTCAATAAATTTGCCTAAAAATGGAAGGCGGTTTTGTTTGAGATAATACACAATAATCAGAAGTATTCTGTGCCTCTTTCGCAATACTTTTGTTCAAAGCATTATGCTAGCTGTTAGTGTCACATACACGCGGCGCCGTGGTTTTCTACGTAGTCCCGTGGGTCACAAGTAGATGGCACGTGACAGTCGAGTGTTCACTTGGACTGTGACATGGAACGTACCATCTACGCGTTTCGTTGCTACACTCCGTGCGCTTCTTGACATTTGTGGGAATATGGGAGGTGAAGAAGTGGCTTGTAAATAAAGTCTTCTTAGGTAAAGACATTAAGCGTTGTCGTAGTGGACTGAGTTTCTCCAGCAGTCGCATTAAGCCCTGCCAGCTGAAAGGATTCATTATTAACGTTAAGAAGACCTTAAAGGCAACAAATGTGGCTGGAAGACAATGTCACAGAGTAAAGGTATTAGCTCTAAGAGTAAGGTGTCCGCTAAGCTTAGCTAGATACCAAAATTTCACATTCATACACCTTTTTCAGAACATAAACGCATGCAACTACAGCCAGGAATTTCAAGTAAACAAAGTTGTTTGTCACAATTTATTAGATTTATAAATGAATAAATGGGTGGTCACACGAACACCTTTAAGCGATACAAATAAAAAGTATTTTAAGAAGTGAAATCGGAAAGGTATTTTAAAGTAATTGGCATACATTGAGCTTGCAAAACATCATCCACCTTTATTCTCCCTTGATTTATTATCGTCTACAACGTGTTTGCTTCGTGAGCATGTCCTTCCTTTAAAAGGGGAAGAAGGAAAATGAAGCATAAGTAGCCGCTAAGCCCCTTTAGTTTACGGTATTTTTCTCTACAATCGCTCATTTTATATTCTAGACAATGATATATACCACTTAACAGATGTGATGACCTCTATTTTGCATTCCACATTACCCTTCCACCCTAAAATCCTCATTAAATACCCGTTACACTTGAGACCTTTCAAGCAAACCTGCCTCACGGATTGTGTTTGTCTCTTTGCCAACTCCAACTAAAAGCCCCTCACAACATACACTGACCAAAGTGAGGGGAAGGTGAGGTGTGCAATAGCAAAAGGCTTTAATGTAGCAGTGATGGATCACTCAACGGTCAATGATGCATCGTCACCTTGAGGAAGACACCCTCTCCTTCATTACAACCACCGATTAGGGTTAAGTCCTACATCAACTGTGAGGAAGCATCGGTGGTAGAGTAGTCTTGGCAAAGTGGTCGCTGCAGGTCATGCATCAACGGATGAGGGGCAACATACTCGGAAGTCTTCCAATGGAAGTAAGTAATCTACACTTCACGACACAAACCGCACCATTCGCTTCAAACTGCTTGTTGTCACCGCAACTATCAGGTCTTTCTGTCTCCATGTTTGCCTGACCAAATGAGCAGCTGATTAGCTAAACAATTAATGTTAAGAAATGGCTGTTTTTGCATTGTTCCGCATTTGGGACCAGCATGCAATTTCGGCCGCACAGACGATTTACATTACACCGAATGAAGGCAGGTATTATTTTTTTCCCTTAAGCGTTTTATGCTTGTTTTTGCACGCATGTGTTGCGTCGCAGACAAAGTAGTTTACTTTAAAAAAATGCATTGCTTGAGGATATAAGAAGTTCTTAACGAAGGGTGGGTGGATGATTATGAGGATTTGTGTGTTTTTAAGTAAGTCTTTGAGTGGAAGACATGGGGTTCCGGAGCACAGGACACAACTTCTACATATAATCAACTCCTTTTTATGTGCCAGTAGCAGAACTTTATAAGTGATACTTCTATCTTATGCATTCCTTAGCCAAATACACATCGTCTTCGCGACAAATACTTCACTCTTTAGCATTTCCGCTTGTCTGTTTCAGTAATTGCAATACGTAGCGGCCGCTTTTGCTTCGGGAATTCAAAAAAAAGCCTTTCTGGAAGGTAAAATGGCTGGAAATGAGCTAAGGCATTTCATGAGTGAGCTTCATGTGGCTTTTAAATGAGTCGTGATTTGGAAGATAACAGAAAGTCTTGTTGCAGCTGTTGAGGTCGTCGTCAGGAATTTCTGTATAGTTCACCTCCAAACCATAGTTTGAACCAAACAAATCAAGAAGTTGAGTCGGTATACTTATAATTATGTATTATAATAGTTGATTTTGTGGCACCAAGGGTCGGTGCATCACCACTACTGTTAATGCTTGCAGATACAGTTTCAACTTGATTTTTTACCGAACGTAGTTGGACAGCAGTCAAACTTAGAAATAGGAGCGTCAAGCATCTAGAAGTGGTCTGTGCTGCTTTTTTTAGATTGGGACGGAGACAGAAACAGAACCGCCTTCTTCAGAAGACAACAGTCGGAGGTCACTGGAAGCTTTGTTAATTGAGGCATTGAACAAACTATTCTTGACACTACAGCAAAATCTCCCGGATGATGAGGACTAGGACTCCGATTTCTCTCAAAAGCATCCACTACCTCTTTCTGCCACCTACACATTTCTCGCCTCTCTTTTGCTCATGGTGGCCTTGCCTCAACCCACCCCTGTACCCTATCCACTATTCCTCGATCCTAAAGCAGAGCGGAATCATTATTCCATCGTCAATTTTGTATGCTTAAATAAAAGTTGATAAAGTAAGGAGCTTTAACCCTTTATGTGAATAAAGTTGTAAAATCTATTAGTGTGTGAATTATCTGGCTGGAATTTGCCACCTAATCACTTTTGCTGTTCTCTTCTGTCTTCTATCTCATTGGTCGATTACGGCGATCCCAAAATTTGATGGTATGAATTTATTTCATCCTTTTATACCTCTGCTGTAAGTTTACAAGGAGCATTCTATTTGGCTTAGTGTGTCAATCGCGATTTTTCAGTTAGGGTGTTTAAAATGTCTGTATGCCTTTACAACTGACTGTTTACGTACCACTTGTTTATCATTAAAGAAACGATTTCCAGCATAACTATTTTTTATATTTTGCCCATAACTATTTGTTGAGTTCAACGTATGTCTACAGCGGTGTCGATGATCCATTATTGATGACAGCGACTGAACTGGTCTTTATGAATTGCTGCTCGATACATCTACCCTTTGAAATGTAAATGGAATCGTCACCAACTTTTCGACTCTGACCACTCGAAACGAAACGAAGACTTCATCCCTAATTGCTGGCTGGTCTTAAGCAGTGCACTCGTCTAGAGGGAACAAATCCATCTGCAGAATACCACACAAAAATAGGGCCAGTCTTTTTTATCACGTATCAGTCAGCTAAACAGTAGCTCAGCCGGTCAAACAGAGAGTCAGACGGATGAACGAACAATGGAAAAGTTAAAGTGAACGGTGGGTTTTATGGCGTTTATAGCCTGCGTGAATAAAGTGGAGACCATCCGCTTTAATTGTGGGCGGCACGCTTTGCTATTGCGACAGAGGGTTGAATTTTTAGAGATGGCAATTTGACCCTCCAATAATGGCCAAAATTTCAGTCACTCGTGTGTTGGTGGCAAATGTAGGAGCATTTCGATTGCAAAATTATTGAGAATAGCATGACCCCAGAAAATAAATGTCTAGGAAACTTTGAAAAGGCAATTGCTTCCCAGTTCATCACCATGTCAGCGGTAGAGGTTGCAGAATAACTAGGTCTGTTTTTATCCTCCTTGGCGGTGTCATTCGCGGCACTGACTGCAGGAGTAGCCGGGACGGCATCTACATTGATTGGAGCACTCACACTTCCATGTGGACGTGTCGTGTGAAGAAAATAGAAATGAGTGGTGAAAGCCAAGGCATCCAGGCAGTTCTGTAAAACTTGTTTTAGGCAGTGGTGACAAATCGTAGTTAAGGTCAGGAGACCGTGAGAGACTAGAAGTCGCTGGGAAGGTGTCGCGTTGTTGTGACACAGTGGCTCGATTTACTGAAAGCGTAAGCAATGAGACGAAGGAATATGTGGATGGTAGAATAGGATCCTCTTCTGCATGCATACTTTCATTGCACTTCTGCTCTGGTTGTGTACCTGACGATTTGTGGAGTTGTGCTGTAAAGTAGATGGAGAAAATGCTGAAGGAGTTATCTGAAACTGGTGGCATCAATAATGAATGTGTTTTGGCAGACAAATCTGGTGCGTATGAGAGTTCTGCATCCAGACCATGGGTAGCTTTGTCTACAATGTTTGAACTGGACTTTGTTGTCGACTCCTTCAATATACTATCAATCGAAAAATCGAGGAGAATATGAAAATAACCTCATCAACACGAAAATGACGGCACTTTGATGAAGTACAAGGAAAGGCAAAACCATCACACATCATGACTGGAAGGGTTGTTGAACGGGGTATCGTTTTCCACCGTCTGACCTGTGACAGTACGACCTCGGTTACTATTGGCTTTGAGGCCCACTGACTCAGGTCAGGGTTCATTGACGTGAGGTTTGTAAACACGTTCGATGGTGAACTTTGAGAGTCTCTGTGCTGCTTATGGCACAATCGATTTCAAAGTTGGGTCATAGTGTGCATCATGGAGGTTCCGGTGCCCATGCGTCCCAAGTAAGCAATGCAGGAATGTAACTGGGGCTAGAGTTTTCAGTAAATAAAACTTTTGTCATTTCAACGACACAAGGACTTGACGGATCCTTCGGACTGACTAAATGGCCCAAATCTTCTGACGCATGGTCGAAGTAAAGCGGCATTAAACTGATCTGATATTGGACGAAAAACACGTTTGATGAGGCATCAGACAGTGATGTGGCAAATGTTTCACCTCTTTGATAGCAAAGCAATTAACTTGTTCTCTAGACGATTGCTCAGAATGACCTTCTTCGAGGCACCGACTTTGCGTTGTCATGTGGGCAATGTATTTTTGCCTACCCAGGTCCAGTACCCTCGAGCCGAACCTTTTGTGATCTTGCATAAATGCAATCAGAAATGCGTTTCGTCTGCTTCAGAGTGCCAATTCTGCGTACACTTGACATGAAACACCATTACGAAACCGCCCCACCTCCAGATGATGTAAATCAAACCACAACTAACTCTCCCTTCACCCATAATGTTAAACACTTCCCACTTATTTTTAGTAAGTGCGGTGCCTTATTCCGTCTTTTATTAAGAACAGCGTCTTCCCCCAGTTGATGATCCCCTCGTCTACAATTGAGTAGCTCATCACTACTACAGTCAAGTCTTCTGCTACCGCATACCTCATCTTCTAATGCCGACTAGCATGCGTCAAGAAAGCCTTCTGATTCATTTTCAAAACCGAGGTGAAATTTATTCGTAAAGCAGAGGTGCTGGAATAGAATCGCAAGAGACATGCATTTAATAATATTGAAAGGTGGAATGAAAGTGGGAGAAGGTGAATTAAGTGCATATATTTCTCCAGAAGTTGCAAGGGCCTTTTTCGCATGAAAAGCGGAAAATTATGGGTTTTAGTGGTAACCCGATAGTAAATATATAGCAGTTTCACTTGCCTCAATTCCATTTTAAATGGAAAATAGACCTGCGTAATAAACGCGTAACTGAGTGGAATGCGCCGGGAGATGAGGAAGGTTGATGGTGCAATGCAAAAGCCTTCGCCTGTCGACAGTTTAGCTATTTAGTAATTCTTAATTCCAAATAATTATGACAAATGTCATAGATGCTTCTTGATACCAATTTTATTTGCTTACATTTTTGGAAAGCTAAATATTGCATTGGTTTTGATGTTTTGTTTACCTAATGGGCACTTAAGTCTTCACAGATCGTACTTTTGCTCGGCGGCATAGCCCTCTGGCCACGCTTATTACCCTTAAGGTCTTCCTTACGTTGGTAATGAATCCTTCACATTAGTATGGCTTATTACGGCCGCAGGAGAGGCATCATATCAGTGTCCAGTGTGAAGCCTTGCCATGATGTTCCACAACAATGGGATGGCTATCCTGCTTAAAAAGTATTTTGCTCTGGAAAAAGACATTCTAGGGAAATGCATGTTATAAATAAGGGCCTTGAGTGAAAAATTGTCTTAGGCAACAGTGGTGAGGCCTACTGGATGACGATTTCAATGAAAGTACTTGTTTGTTAGGCATTTGGCTTTGCTCCGGTTCACTATCAACACCTTCAAATCAGGAAGGAAACTGGAGAGTAACAAAATACAGGCTCTACGGTGTAATAAGTACTTCTAGTGCTGTTTGTGTTTTGGGAGGAACTAGCAACAGCTTGTAGCTGTTTAGTGGATGATAAGGATAAGGCACTGCTTAAAAGTGACTATTTTGCACACTTAAATAAAAGGGTCCCATCTAACACGTCCCATTGTCCTCTATCAAACTTGAAAATGAAACTGTAGTCGCATTTCCATTGGTCATTCCAAGACTAATCTCGGAAGCGGCTGTAAACAAGTTTTATTCGACGACTCTGAAGCTCTGCTGGGCATTAACAAAACCGCATTTTTACAGCCTTACTGGTTGCACCGGTCTCCTGTTGCATATTCCAACCAAATTTGAAAGTACCTGCCAAAGCACTAATTTTTGTAGGTTATAATTTGTGGTTTCGTCAATCAAAAGGAATATCAACTTGAAATCTACCTAGCATTCAGCAGAAATGATTCAAAACAAAATTTCAATTTTGAATACAAAACCATGTTCAGTGCTTGCGATTTCAAGTAAAATTTTATCCGTGAAATATGTCGCTACTACCGAGATGGATATAAAAATGGCAATGACCCATTAACTGCATTTGCCATCGCAGCAATCATGTCATGTTCAGTGTGCATGTACCCTGTGTCAAGCCAAATCTGTACGAGTGTTGCAGAGAAGATGTCACACCTGTAGAGCTCCTCCATGATAAATCAAGGTCTTAAGGGGTTCCATTTATCCACCTATCAAGATGGAGTATCAAGAGCTCTTTAGCTACACATTCGATATAAGAATGGCAGAAATCAAATATGCTACATTAAATACACACTTTGATTCCCCGAGGTCTATTCACTAACCTTTTAAGTGTTCAAACCTGCTAATCGCACGTGAGAACTTGTATGCGATGTTTTCCATTACATAACTCTAGCACAGCATGACGCGCGATCGTTCTTAAGTGGACATTTCAACCATTATATTTGCCCTTCCTGTGGTTCATCGACAAAATGGAAAACGGGTGCCAAGATCTATGGCAGTCAAGGTGCACAGATATTCAGTAAACGAAAAACCTCTTTTTCTATAATTTTGAAAGGCTGAAGATAATTTGGGACTAGGCAGGGATCTTTTCTTTTACTTAAAATAAAATAAGTAGACAATATTTTTTAAAAAATAACAACAATGAGTGGTTACACTGAATCCATAAAATTTTGTCCAACTTTAAGGTGAACAAAAAACTATTCATCTGATAGGAGTAAAGAATGGAATGTGCTTTGACATTTTTACAAATCCCGGTGGACCTGATTGTTCCCTAAGCATTTTTTATGCTAATTTTAATTTTTAATTTTTAATTTTATGCTAATCTTGTCGAGGCGGTGGTTCTCAGCCAAGAAATGATTTGGTCTTTAGTCAGGAATTGAGTCGTATTGTACCGCATGTGCATGCTCAGGTGATCAAGGTACTGCTTTGTGTGGAGCAAGTGGTACCGGCCTTAGAATCGTGTGTTAGGAAGTGAGTCATTTCTGAACAGACAATGAAGCAATGCTGTGTTCAGTTATATGACAAACATGGCAATGTAAGTCATTATACGGAATGTTTATACAAGGCTCGGGAACAAGTGATTGACTACCTGATAGTCGGTGAAGTTCATTCTTTGTCACAATGATGTGGATGTGATGTTGATGTTTATGTATAACAACGGTCCCATCACTTACGTTAATCTCCAATTATCTTGCTAGCGGCGACATGTGAGTCCTGATAGTCAAGAAGAGGGAGCCGATTCTGACTGATTCATCACCAGAATGAGGTAGTTTAATCCCTTTGTAGACGGTGCCTTCTGCATCTTCTACAAGCATTCTGCAGCAAGGCTAGAGAGAAGCACTTGTAATTTTAAAATTGACTTTAAATTGATCATGAAGCGGACAAGTTCCCACCTAATGCATCCGGTGCAGCAGACGTTTCGCAGCTTAATAACTGAAAGTGGGAGGATGGCGGTGAAATCCACATGTCGAAAGATTGACGCATATTTACCCTAACAATGCCTGTGGACGAGTCTTTGACAAGTTAGAACATTTTACTCAATCTTCTTGGGATATAGATAGTTGGGATAATCACCATGGTGTACATTGTAAAAAAGCATCTTCTGTTTAAATCCAACAAAGTCTTGCATTGAATGGTCTTGCAATCAATGATGAAGTTTGAGGATCTGGATCATCTACCTTTTAACCAATCAGTTAAAAAACCTTTCGCCGTCAGTTGGTATTCTTTAACAGGTTATGGTACCAATGCACACTTTTGGTACGACTACTTTCAAGCAATTTTGACGCTGCACTTATCGAAGCTAAAATTCCACAAGCCGCGATTATAGATTGAAGTGAATCGCAGAGCTGTCGTAAAAGGGTTGAATCAAGTCAACAATCTGGCAATCTAGGCACGTTAGGTCCAGTATCAGCTAAAACTGTTTCAAATAATACAATTTATGCCTTCAAATGCCTTCTATAGCGAGAATATTCGTTCGTAAACTGTGATAGAAAGATTTTAAAAACAAACATGAGGGTGCACTACTATAAAAGTAAACTATCGCAAGAATGATTGTGGAAAAAAGCGAAAAGTGCACGAAGCTTTTGTGAAATAGATAGAAAAGTGTATATATTTTACAGTACAGGGAATCAAAGCCCACCATCAACATGAATTTGCCATTGCAGCCTTCAAAAGATGCCTTTCACCCAGAGTGATTTGACTTTTATGCCAGGTAGCAAGTTGGCTCTCTCCAGAACCCAACTCTTGAGGCTCCTGCAGTCCTCCATCACGTCCTCATTCGTGCCTCGTTGCCCCTCCACACTGGTGGACACAGGCTTTGATATAGCTGGTTGGAGTAAAACAAATCTAAATGTACGGCATTACTGCCGTCATCTCGTGGAGGGCGAGGGAGGTGAGGGCCAAGGGGGCGGCAGACTTCTCCTTCGGGGCCTCTTTGCTCACAATCACTTAGTAGGGCTTGGATGCCATCTTATTGTAGCATGGGACTGGTGGAAGTGTCATTCTTCGCCATCTATCGCAATGTTTGACGAACCCTCCGGAAAAAGTAACTACACTAGACTACAACGTCAACTATGGATTTAGTTGATTTTCTGGCACTTCTGCAAGGCCTGTTCATGCCGATTTGGGGTTCTGGGAGCTCATGATAAGGGGTACTGGACTACCCCAGCGGTACCACACTACATGCAGTACTAAGCTCCAAGTATGCTTAATCACACACACAGCGCTGACCCAGATCTTCTATGAAGGTCAGGAGTACATGATAGACAACAATGGCATGGAGTGAGAGCGTACTTGCATGCATGAGGGTGGTGGTAAACTAGGCCCTCATTCAACGTAGTTACAATATATATCCGCCTAGTGTAAACAAGTTAACTTGTGTTTGTTAAAAAGGCCTATTTTGAAATTACAAAATCTTAGTAAAGATTTCACTGGAACAGTATTTTGGTGACCGTCGACTTACAAAGAATTTACCACTGTTCAACAATTTATCAAGACCACGAAATCGACATTCAAGTTTCGTACGTTCTATAACGAGTTGAATAAATCATTGCTCAGATCGAAAGTACTGGAAAAGTTGTTGGGAACTTGCGATAAGACGTAATCACCTAGACAAAGTTCAGGAGTTTCGAAAGCACTCCAAGGCTCTTTTCGATGTCTGAAGTTATTCGCAACACTGTTGACGATGAAGAGAATGGATACATCCCTCATGTATCGATTGAACTGACCATTCATCACCAAGTAGGGAAGACTAAGGAAGGAGGACAGGCTGAAATGTTGAGACATACCTAGCAAGCCGTCATACTTTTGTAAAATGGTGTTTTCTTCATTAAAGTGATAATTACTTGCTTTGGTCATTTTGTGTAGACAAAAAACTGCATTGGAAAACAAGTTGAGACATGTTGTTGCCAAATAGTGGAACTTAAAATAAGCGAGGATGATTAGGCAAACAAGAAAATAGAGCTCATCAATTTGTATAAACAATCAAAATGAGGTTTTGTATCACGAATCAAAATTGCGTAGTGTGCGTACTGGGCCTTGTGCATCCTTCGGCAGGAGATTGTTAGAAATGCTAAAGCTACTCCTCAAGGAATGATGAGCTAACTTATTTATTATTTATTCGGTAAGTGAGGTTGCCTAATTTGCAGTTAACTGGGAGTAAATTCGTGCTAAGTGCTCCAAAAATAACTTACATAATGATTGTGCTACCTGTTTTCTAACAACTCGGCTGTGAATGTGAAAGAAAAAAGGAATTGTTCAAGCTTGAACCTTGCAAAGGGCAGCTGATTAAGATGCAGGCGAGATTACGATCGTCTTCTTCAAAATATCAACTAAAATTGGAAAGAAGACTAAAATCGAAGTAGAATTCAAAAAACACCTGCGAAATTCAGCACAATTGTAAGTAT